TCTCTCTCTCTCATTCTCTCTCTCAAATAAATAAAATCTTTAAAAAAAAAAAAAAAAAACAGAAGCCAAATGTCAGGCACTTCGAATTGACTAAAATTTTGTGAGCACTACGCTTTTAGGAGAAAGAAATAAGATTGGATTAGTCATTTAGCTAAATAAACATTTAGATTTTGCTCTGTGCTTAGTACAAGTTTTCTGAAACTTCTGTATCTACATTAACATTCTGTCACGTCAATGGATATTAAAAGATCCCCAACTCCTATAGGAACTCAGCACATATAAAAGTATATTTCATTTTAATCTTTGAAATGGATTAGTATGTTTCAAAAATATTTAAACAACCAGATTTTAAAACCTTTTTTTGACACTGTTAACAAGAATGTGAAAAAAATAACCAACCGAAAGCCCTGTTCCTTCCATGCATTTCAGGTAATTCAGCTAAATAAGGAAGCCCCTGGACCTAAGTAAATACTACAACTATTACCACCATCAGTGTTATTACTATTAATAGCTAACATTTCTTGGGCAATTAGTAAATGCCAGCAGTAATCTCTGTGCTTTACACATGTCAGCTCACTTAATCCTCACTGTAATACTATGAGGTATGTATTATTATTAACGCCTACTTTAACAAATGAGTGGTTTGAGGCTCAGAGAGGTTAAATATCTTTTCCAGGGTAACACAGCCAGAAGTGGCACCACCAGGTTTTTCTGGTTCTACAAGCAGGATGGTTTAGCCATCAAGCTATGCTATATCTGTACACAATGCCTCCCTGTCATACATTTGCTAAAATATGTCAGTTTGGGGGTTGGGATGTTGTTCTACAGCATCTCATGCTCAGCCCTTGAATCAAGCTAGAAAAACAAGTTTTCTTGACTTGATGATATGATTAAAATTAACATGTCTGTTGGAAGACCTAAAATAGCATTAAAAACAGGTAACATGGGGGCTACCTGGGTGGCTCAGTCGGTTAAGCATCTGAATCTTTGGATTTCGGCTCAGGTCATGATCTCAGGGTCATGAGATCCAGCCTCGAGTCAGGCTGTGCCCTGGGCATGGAAATTGCTTAAGATTGTCTCTCTTTCCCTCTGCTCCACCCCTAAAAAATAAAATAAAATAAATAAAATAAAATAAATAAAATAAAATAAATAAATAAAATAAAATAAATAAAATAAATTAAAAAAATAAGAAAGTAATGGCTATACCTATCCCAGTGCTGGCACAGAGTAGATGTTCGAACAGCGCTTGTTAAATGAATGAATGAACATGCCCTCTGACCTCTCAGCAATCAAGAATATTTCCATGCTGACCACAGCATATATAAAATAAGTACTCATGGAAGAGGGATTAAGCTACAGAATTGATGTTTTCACCAGCAGTTATTACATATGTAAATGTGTAAGTTGAAAGCAGTTTTGAATTTGAAAGCTATCATTAAAATAGAAAAAGAGCAGAACCAGATCATTGGTAAAAGTGAAATTAACAATTTAAGGATTTTTATCAGTATACGATTTTTATGATCTCTGTCATTTAGTTGATTTGTTTTCAATAAAGCAAAATATTCACAGTACATTTTGTATGTAAGTAACTAAAGGGATGAATAAAGAAATGATTGTTGGGCGCCTAGGTGGCTCACTCATTAAGTATCTGCCTTCAGCTCAGGTCATGATCCCGGGGTCCTGGGATCGAGCCCCGCATCGGGCTCCCTGCTCTGCAGGAAGCCTGCTTCTCCCTCTCCCACTCCCCCTGCTTGTGTTC